ATTCAAGAATCAGTGTTAAACGATTTACAGGACGACTGCGTAGTATCTCCACGTGATTTCAAAATTTATAGTCAAGATCGATCAAACGATAGAAAGAGGTGTGGCGGCGGTGTAGCAACTTTTGTAAACGTGAACTGGTGTCGATCAACTTTTGCGTATAATAAGTTTCAAATGACTTTATCATCTGTCTAACTCTAGGATGCCGTCCAAAACATCTGAATAAATATAAATATGTTTATGTTACCAATATCTATGTGACCCCAGACTGCACATCATCTGAGCTATCTGTCTTCGCTGATGAATTCACTGAATTCGCTGTTACTGCCTTCAGTGATTCACTTTCAGTTGTATGTAGTGGTTTCATTTCATGTGACTGTAGTGACCTACTTTTGTCAGCAGAACGCGATTGGTTCGATGAAAACAATTATTATAATAACCAATTGTACCAGTGACTGTTTTACTGTGCTCGTTTGTTTAACTGTGCTAATGACAGCCATTACACTTACTCTCCCGTTGACTTTGAACTTGTACGAATCCGGTTACGTTTAGTGACCACGCTTGTACTCCTTTGGCACGATCTCGGTATTCTTTCGATACCACGAGATCGCCAACAAATACATCTCGACTACAGCCATCATCTGTCTTCTGATACTGGCCTACGGGGATCTTATTGGTTAATTGGCACGTAGTTTGTAGCGGTGTTCATAGTCAAGCTCAACTCGACACCACGCTACATGACTGTAGCTTCCTTACATCACTAGGTCACCAAAATGTAGTAGATTATTTTACTCGGTTGGATGCTCATCTAGACTTCGTTTTCAGTAATGGTGTAGGTTTATATGTGACTCGTAAACTTGCCCCATTGTCTAGCTCGGATCACCGTATAGTTCGTGTTCTACCTAAAGTATATGGAAAGCATGGGATGAGTACACTCTTAAATCAAACCAAGAAAGTCAAATATAAGAATTACCCAGAAGAAAATATCTGAAATCTGAAAAACATGTTTCATACGACTAACTGGAAATTACTTACAGATGACTCACTGGAAGTCACTTCTGATGTTATCACTTGTTACCTTAAATTCTGTTTTGATATTTGTTGTTCCACTGAAACTATTTTTGTAAGTTTTGATCGACTTATATCTTCACAACTAAAACGACTATGGAGGGTGAAAGAAAGAATGTACAAGGAGAAAAACTATAGTGAAGTTCGTAAGCTAAATGGTCTGATAAACCTCGAGATTATTCGTCTCAACTCTATGTTTGCTCAAAAACTCTTGTCTTTTAAACACTCTTCAAGTATGTGGAAACTCTTTAAAGAACTTACAGGTGACAGACAGATTAGGACCGATAATCAGCTGGATGTTTGTGACTTAAATAAGTCTTTTTTACGTCAATCATATGATGCGATGCTCCCTTTATTCACGGGTTTAAAAATAGCTGTGTCCCTAGTTTCACCGAAAGTGATGTCCGAAAATGTCTCCAGTCACTAAATTCATCTTGATGTTTGGCACCTGATGGTATCCCAAACCTCCTTTTTAAAATGTGTGCTGACGCCCTATGCTATCCATTCATTACTATCTTTAATATATCCTTCTCTTCTAATCTCATACCGAAAATGTGGAGAAAGATGAAGATAATCTCTATGCCAAAGAAAGCATCTAGTGATAAGAATGTGAAATTCAGACCCACTGCGATAACTTCACCCTTCCTCAAAACAATGGAAAAATTATTGACACTTTCACTTCAGCCTGCGATAAAAGAGCAAATTGACCTGTATCAGTTTGCTTACAGATGCAAAAGAAGCATCTTAGATGCTGTTGCTGTTCTGCATCACAATATAGTGTTCAACCTAGTAAAGGGTAAGAAGTATGTTCGATGCGCTTTCCTGGACTATAATTCTGCTTTTGATTATATGTCAAGACAACTTTTACTTAACAAGTTAATCAGCGTCAACACTGACAGCTGGATAACCAACTGGCTATGTCCCTACCTCTCTAGAAGGGAACAGTACACAGTGTTTGGAGGGAAGTGTTCAGAGTCTCTGGTGTCTTATGAAGGTGTACCACAAGGAGCTGTTCTTTCACCTCTTCTTTTCTCTTTTTTCTGCATGATCTGCCATCTCCCACAGTAGACACTTTTGTGAAATATGCAGATGATCTCACTGTTTGTATGCCTATCTCTTCCTCTTTACATCCTATAGAAATGAATGAGTTTTTATCTCGTATTGATAGTTGGTCTGTTGTTAATGATCTCTTACTTAATCCGTCTAAATGTTAAGCAGTTAACTTTAGCCTGAGACATGATCGGCATTTAAACATCATTTTGAGATCTCATAATGCTTATGCCATTGGAGACTCTTTGCTAAACACAATGTCGAAAATCAATTATCTTGGTGTTACCTTTTCCTCTGATCTCTCTTGGTCTTCTCACGTTTTATTGTTATCGAAGAAGGTTTTCCGTCTGACTTACTATATAAAGAGATTGCATGCTCTTATAATCACTCGTCATTTACTCCTACAATTTGTCAATTCTTGCATATTACCTATTGTTCTTTACTGTCCTCCATTATTCTTTCCCGGGCTTTTGAGAAAAGACTTTGCTGTACTGCGGAAAGCGCTGTAGGCAGTTAGCAAGGTATGTGGTGAATCTTTCGAGACCATAATTAATATGGTTGTGGATAGACATCTAAAGTTATGCAAACTCCTGGCAGGTGTTATTTTATCATATACTAACCATCCCCTTCACTCATATCTTGCTCCTTGTATATCTTCTGGTAGAACTAGACGAAATTACATTAAAATCCAAGCACGCAAGCAAAAGTATAAACGTTCTATAATACCTTTCCTAGCAAATGTACTCGGTGACGAACAGGTTGTTAGAATTAACCTAGTCAATAATCTGCATTCTTAACATGACTAATTGAAAAGTTGTACAGTTTTTTCAGATTTTTTTTGATAACCGTTTTTTTTCTGTAAAAGAAACTTGTTGAAATATTTTTGTGCTGAGAATTCTATATTGTACCAAAATATAATATTGAATAAAGCCATAAATAAATAAGTCAAACTCATCGTATGCAATCTGGACAGAAGAGGTTAGTGTTGAGAGATGTGCTGTTGTATTCTGGATGTGTAAAAGAAAACGCTTTGGACATGTAAGAGGTTGAACTGATGGCCATCGAAAAACCACGAAAAACACCTAAAGAAAGGTAGTATCGTGGATTCAGGACCATCAAATCCAAGAAAGGGGATTACAAACAATATCGTCCAGTGCTCTGCGTGACTAGCCATAGCATTGAGAGGAACGCTGCTGTTGATCGCTGAGATATACACAGGAAATGAAGTGACCATCCTGATAGGGGACTTAAAGATGAAATCAGAATAGAAAACACCGGGTGTGTAGGTATTATAGGACACGGACAATCAGAATAGTAAAAAATCACTGAAATTTAAAAGCAGCAGAACATGTGGAACACGTTTAAGAACTCTTGAATAAACCAACCCCACTGAACACACTGGATATCGAGGCGAGATATACAGACTTTCCCACAGACGTGGCTATCAAGACAATAAAAATCAGCATGGCCATCAGACAACTCAAGAGTGGTAAGACGGCATAACCAAACAGTGTTCAAGTGTAGGGACTGAAGCTAGGTATGGTGGTGACTGTAATGATGAAGATCAGTGTGAAAGGAAAGAACTTAAAACCAACTACATGATAGAACTAGGGTGAGCCAAGTTACGTGTAATCCAGTTTGCAAATGAAAATGAACCAGAAAAGTTACATCGCCAGGGAAGTGGGGCTCTTGGCCAATCATTAACTGACAGTGATAATGCAGTACCAAAAAATCTGTACTTACCAAAGAGTGGGAACATAGAGTAAGAGTTATAAAGGTATATGATTATTTAGCGTCCCTAAACACACTTGGTTAGCGTTTTCTTAGCGAGTTATTTTTCTAACCCCATGCCCGACCCTCCTCCTTTATCTGGGCTTGGGACTGGCAGTAGCCCTTGGAGGGACTCCAGGCGGTGGAAAACTACGAAAGCCATCATCCAGAGGATACAGTTGTTTATTAACAGTTGTCTACACAAAATAATTCGGATCCGTTGGCCAGACACTATTTTCAACAACCTACTGTGGGAGAGAACAAACCAAATTCCAGCGGAGGAAGAAATCACGAAGAAGCGCTGGAAGTGGATAGGACACATATTGAGGAAAGCACCCAACTGCGTCATGAGACAAGCCCTCACATGGAATCCTCAAGGCCGAAGGAGGAGAGGAAAACCAAAGAACACATTAAGCTGGGGAATGAAACTAGACATGAGAAAAGTGGACAGGAATTGAATGGAACTAGAAAAGAAGGCCCAGGACAGAGTGGGTTGGAAAATGCTGGTCGGCGGCCTATACTCCATTGGGAGTAACAGGCGTAAGTAAGTAAGCAAACACACTTGGTTACACGATGAGTAACATCAAGTACATTGACACACAGTCTGCCATAAGAGGAGGTATGCTATGTCATTTAGCCTTATCACAAGTTCAAAGTCCTTTTAGCACAATGGATATTTTGGTAAGAATATAACATATGGACGAAGCTCAAGTGACTTTGACACAACTCGCCTAATTAATACAATCAAAAGGAGCTATAAACTACTATGAGTTAAGAATGGGATATAGAGTCGAAATTTAGGGTGAGGGATTGACGTAAAAGTTTTCATCACGCACTGACATCAGCTATAGTGACAAAATAATATTTAACTTTATAAGTGAATGAATTTTGCACCGGAATTCAAGATTTGGTTTGTCTGCAAATTATAATTTCACTGGGGTTTTCACTAATTTTTAGAATTTAAAGGACCAGATACTTGGTTAGTATTGACGTCCACTTTATCTATTACTACACTTTGAACTTTGCTTCAAGTGTATAAGGCGTTATCTTAATTCTGACTGACCAACTCAAGGCCATTGTCATGTTGTGCTCATTCACTGTTAGCCTCGAAACATATGTGTATATATTCCCTTTACTGTATTTTATACATAGTCCACTTCTACATATAAAAATGATTGCCATATCCATTGCTATCTTAAAATTTGTCTGTGACTAAATTTACAAGTCTCCAACGTATTACGTATTTATATCTTATTTGATAGAGAACATATGACAAGGCCACTATCCATAAAACCTTTATAATCGATTATCCTAAACCCAGTTAAAAGACGGGAATAAAGAAGTTAAAAGATATATTATATGGTTAGTCAGTGTCATAAAGTATATTATCTAAACTGACTAGTTAATGCGATGGATGTGTACCATGGCGTACCCAATGGTGATCTTATACAGATGCTTGATCGAGCACTTTTAGCTAGGGTGTTTCGAGTATAACTAATGAGGTGAATGTCGGTGTTGAAGACGTGCAGAACTATTTGTTGTAATGATTTATCTACCACTAATCGCACAAAATTGTGCTCGGTTACCGTACTATATTAACAGTAATGAGGGACTATAGTGTTATCATTTGGTAAGTACTGTGGTAGTAGTACGTTACTTTACTGTGCAAAAAAATAATGCACTCCACTAAGTTAAATTGGTAATTTCAAATACTTGGTATCTCCCTTTTATTAAGTTTTTTTTCCCTGCGTATCATCTTTAGAGTATTTGTCTAAGTGTTTATTTAACGTTCAAACAAAATTCTTAGCTACACCTAACTTTGATCTATTCGATCCATTCAAATAACTGAGTATGTGGTTGTGACGTTATTTTGATATACTAACAAGTTGCGCCGATTCATCAGCTTTCAAAGTTCCATGCGTGTAAGGTTTTTATATTTTGTTCGTCTCTTCGGTTTTTTGGCGGTGTTAACAGCTTTTGTCGTACTGTGGAAACTGGGGAATGTCTCATATTATTCGGGATCTAAAAAGTACTCTGAGTTATTAAACGAACTGATTCTGTAAATTTTAAGGGGTTTTAACCGCAGTCAAGAATCTGATTACAACGGAAACGGCCTCAAAAATGAATCTGACAGGTACTTTTAATTTTAATTGTCATATGTCATTTAGATTCACTCGTGACTTTGAAAGACTGAGCTCAATCTCCGTTCGTTCTATTCGGTGCATAGTAAATGAAAAGTTAATACTCGGGTGCTATTTGCTAAAACCACAAGAAGTACTCATACCATTCGAATTAGTCCGTAATTATTTTAAGGTTTGTCTTGATTTTTGTACGATTTTAATTTTTTACTTTTAAAGAGTTATGTCAGGTTTATGGAGATATCTTTTTCGTCCACAGCATGCTTATAATTGTTCATGAATAAAATTAACACGTCTTATTTTAATAATTCACCACTAGTAATGTAGTTGCCCCCAAACGCCCTGGTACGGCCGAGAGTGGGGAGAGTCCGCTCTCCCTATCGAAATGCTCTCACATGGCCACGCGTATATAGCATCTGCCAGGGAAGTCCTACTCACTGCCTTCACGTGGCGGGGGTGTTGTTTACGAAAATGAGAGGACGAAAAGCGAATGCCCGGCGCTTTAATCGGATCCCAAACCAATGGTGCACATGGGCTCCAGTACCCTGAAGGAACAACTGGCGTATGAACCAATCGTTGGTCACCGGCTACCATGGGACTGCATCTCCTCACGATGCTCCACTGCCTTGTGGGTCAGACGTTCAGGTCAAAGGCTCGGGGTGTGGCCCCCTAAGAAAACCACCTGCTTCGGTTTGGGCACCCGGACAGTATCACAGCCCTCACACAAATCAATTGAGATTTGTGTGGCGCATATGTATTTGGTGCGTCCTTGTACCAATATCTATGTGTTAAAATAAATAAAATGAATAAGTAATGTTTTAGAATGATATAGATCAGGTAATTTTAGAAATCTCTTCTTGTGGATCTCTTGACTTCTTGCTGTTGATAGTTGTTGCGTCTACTGGGAATTATTGAAATTTAAGTTGTGCTTTGCTCCTATTTCTATTTATTTACATTGAAGTAGGAAGACTAAACGTGGATTGAATGTATTACACTTAATTGTGACATGGATGTCTGAATGATAATTGAGAAAACTGAAGCACTTATGTATAGAAATTATGCCACGTAAACATTTAACGGTCTTGGTGCACGTTTACTAATCTTAAATGTGGGAAGTCATTTTTATTCTTTTAAACTTTGAACACCTACTAAGAATTATATTCAGGGCAACATGTGTATGGTGTTGGTAAGTGTTAAAGGAACTGTAGCTACAAAGCGTGTAAAGAAATATAACAATCTGAGAATGTATACTCTTTTTATAAAATTTTGAGCGTATTCAGTGGCACTATCTGAAAAACTGAAATTCAATATTCCAGTACGCTTATTGAATCTCATGTTAAGTGACTGTTTCTAAGGTTAAGTTTCGGCTCTTAGTCCTCTTTACAGATAGTGTACTGTGATCAGAGGAATAGCTCTTCTGAGGAAACGAGAATATTTCGTTAAGTTTGCCCTATGGGTTAAAACCTGCCTAGAAATTAGGAACTAAACAAGTTTAATTTCATTCACAAATCCGTGTAGTAGTGCACTACATCACAGATGAACCAAGGCTGAAATTATTAGGATGGTCATAATTTATTAACAACTCGAAGGATTTCATTGACATCGGGGTTCCCAAATGCATACCGATTGAGCCAGATTTTCGTGAGGAAACGTTTTCTGTCGTAAGTAGATATGTATCCTGCATAAATTCTATTTATATTTTTATAGAACTTGCTTCTGGATTATATGAAAAGTTTTCTAATATTCTTCAGTCAACACCCTTTTATTCTATTCATTAATCATAAATACCACAAGTTCCACAAAATCTTTAAGAAACTATGAATATCTGAGCATTATGATCATGGAATATCTTGCTCTATACCTTTCAAGGGATAAAAACGTTTCACAACTTTAGGTGATTTCCACAGATTTGCTCTTCAGTTATCATGGAAATCAGCCTACGTTTTCTCCGAGATGTTTTAATATCCTGCTCAATTGATTATTGGTTGTACATAGTTTTACTCATTACGATTAAGTTGGTAGTTTTGAATACATTTTCTTACAGATTTATTAAACTGTCGCTATTAAATAGACGTTTGAAATGAATTATTTTAAAGTTAATTGATATGTCACACTGAGTACTATTCAAGTTCTTCAATCTTTCGCAATTTATTGTTCAACAAGTTTTTGGGCTGATCATATTTGATTACTAGATTCAAATTTTCGATGGATTCTTATCCGGTCTTTCTAAGATATTACACTGATGTTTCTTGATGATCCATTGTAGTGTTAGATTATCTTCAAAACACAAGCTGGTAGAATTAAGTGCAAACGTTTAAATAACGTGATAAATATGAGATTTTGGAGTCATACGACTACATATGTATGTAGTACTTAGAAATATAAAAATAGAATGAACAGTTTAGCTAAAATGTGATTATTTGACCACTAATAAGTAGTAGTTAATTTTTCGCATTACTAAACTAGATTGTTTTCATATTTAGGTTTATGGTTCCCTTGATTTATCGTCTAGCACATTTTATTGGAATCACGCCAATGTTGACATCCCAAAACCATATTTGCATAAACATAATCCTGTCGGTATATATATGCAGTTTCATAAATCCAATGTAGAAAAACGAGATAATGTGAAATTAATCATTGCAGATGAAGGTATGCTATGGCTTTTAATTTTATGGAATGTAGATTTTCTTTTTGTGTCCCAACATTTTATGTTAATTGTGATTGTTATCATCATTGATTCTGGCGCTTATATTAAAATATTTTGTTATTTAATGAGTTTGAGATAGGACAAAAATTAAGTTGATTTTTTTCAGTAATTCAACTGTTTTCAGTCTGTGGCATAAAAATGATTTATGTATGGTTCTTGTATAATGAAGTCAGTACATTTATATGTATACAAATGACTGACTAAGTAAAGGGTTTCTTATACAATTTATAAACTGATTAATACAAATCCATGTTTCTAGGTTGGAAACCACTAATCAGTTTAGTGTTGAACAAGCTGGAATGTAAAATTTAGGAAGCTGAGGACGATAACTGGTCGAAAGCACGCTAGAAGATACTAATTAATTAGTTTGTATCACTACACTCGAATAATGGACACATTATTTGAATATACATTTGTTGAGGATGTACGGTCACCAAACACAAATTATGAGGAAGGAAGTCAATATCGATGAAGATGGATCTCCACTGGATTAAATTATTCAATATGATTTCTTCTCATGGACTTTCAGTAAATTTTTATTGTGATTTATATTTAGTGATAAATACTTGGTTCAATTAAGTATTTTCAATTATGATGAGGTCATCATCAACCACCAGTCTTCTTACTCAAGTTAGCGGGACGGGGAAAAAGAAGACTGAAGTAGTTTCATTCATTATATTGAAGTTAGAGTTGTAAAATACTAGCATAATTTATGGACGTAAATTTTAATCCATTCATGTACACTCATGACTCGAGACTTAACGTAATTAATGTTTAAGCTATCCATCCAATAATTTTGACCCAGCCCCTAACTGTTAAGATTACTAAGTCTGGTCTGTGAATGTAAAGAATATATTTTGTCAAAAAAGCCACTCTTTATTTACAGATTGTTGTGCAAAGACTATTACATTTAAATAATTATAACTTGTAATTGAATTTTACGTTGGACAGAGATCAAAACTGGGTCAGTGCATAACAGAATCAAATAGAACAAAATACCGAAATAATTAGTTGTCGAATTTGTTAAAATTCAATCAAATGTCAAATTGAACGACTACCATGATAGTTTGATCAATAGTCTTACTCCTGATAGCGTTCTGTCACCTCCCCTCAAAGAGTTGTAAGATTCCACCCTTATGTCAACCTGTAATAACCCTAGTCTTTATTTTCGTGACGATCTTAAATAGTTTTGCTCCGGTTTCATCAAATCAGGTATTTAATCCATTTATTCAAAAAGTATAACAAAATAGTAATGACTTCTGTCCAGTATACCTCATATTTGTCAGATATCAAACGTCAAATGTTCATATTATCAATAATATAATTATTCATTGTATTACAGTACGCGAGTATATCTTGGTTCCTGTGTCTTTGTATAACTGATGCATTGGACCATTTTTTAATGACACTTTTTCTATCCATCTAAAATATTTTAAGTATGGTAGGTAAGCTAAATACTCATAAATCCATTTCCGTTTACCTAATGTAATTCATATATTGCGGTGAACGTTTTCTATAGTCCATATATCTGGCAATTCATTACGTTCATTATCTTGTTAAAAAGTTGAATCACAACTTATTTGTGTATTTACATTCAAATACAAACAATACAACATACCAGGAGTACCAATCAGTCAACAATGGAATTCTCGCGGTTATCCATATCCAATTCAAATAGCACAATTTGGCTTGAATCATTTCAGTCAATTAGTAATATCATCTGACCAAGCAAAATTTGAAAATGTACAAAATGTGTCGTTGAACAATAAAATAATGGAGTTAGATCTTATTGTTCCCAGTAATAATGTAATTCATCGTTGGGCTGATAAAGAGTTTATACATAAATGGAATGACAGACTTATGTTATCAGGTATGGTTATCATTTATTTAAAATTATTAAATTTTGACTGTATACACGTCCAAGAAATCCTTTTTTTTATGGAATTGACGTGTGGGACAAAAATTAAGTCTAATAACGCTGTCTTAATTCCCTTGACATTTGAGTGATCTACAAAATTCTTGTTTTCAAGTTGTTTATGACATTTAGTATTGCTATTTTTCTGTTGATAGCTTTAATTTTATATGTAAAACCTGTTCTCTTAGCCAATCTTCTTGTCTTTAATGTCAATTTATTGGGAAGTTTGCGTCAATAATCCTGTTTCGCGAGCAGTCATCACTTGGTTACATATCATCTTCTGATCAGCATACTATCGATTTATTTTAGCAGTCATGTGTTCGAATCCCGCGGGGGGTATCGTGGATGCGCGCTGCTGAGGAGCCACATCCTAGGACGAAACGACCGTCCAGTGCTTCCAAGCTTTCCATGATGGTTTAGCTTCAATTGACTCATGAGTCCAGCTGTTAAATCCAAAATGTGTTCAAGTCACAAAGTCCTAACCCATGACAAAAATAATATGTTCGTGTGTAGTAGGAATCTAATGTTGTAAGATATAAAAAATGACGTGTTTTATCTTATTTAGTGATCATTTTCATCACAATCACTCATTTTATCAACTGGGAAACCCAAAATAACTGAACAGTCGTTATTACCTAATTTGTTTTATACCCGATTTCGTACGGGGTTGAATTCGCAGTTGAATGTTTTATTCCAACATCGAAGTTAAGTAAAACAATATAATTTTCCTCTTTAATGTCTTACATTAACTCGGTGTCCAATTACTGTGAAATTTCGTTCAAATTTAGATGAAAATTCTTACAAATTATCGTCTAATTTGTTTATTTATTTCCTATTCATAGTTATAACAATAAAGATTATATGTATATATAATATTCATACACGATTTATTATTTCTGAAAACATAAAATATAGCCAAAACTTCACTGAATTTAACTTGTCTATGATGCTGACAGGTTTCACATGGAGCGGGGTGACTACACTTAGAAATAAATTTATTCATACAATCATAATTTTTAGTCCTTTTTTTACTCTGTATGAAATATAGCTTATAAGTTCATGCGTGAATTCAGTGGTTACAATAGAGTTACATTTGTCCAATTTATTCCGTATAGTTGATAAACTGAACTCCTATGGTCAAGTATTGTCAATAATCCCGAAGCTTCAAGAGTGGGATTATCTCATTATGATTGGTCGTCAGTGGACATATGGAAGTTATATTGAATTATCACTTTTATGGTATCCTCCAGTTGGAAGTTATAAGAATCACCCCACAAAAAGTCTAATTGTATACAATTGTTCATCATCTCCAAGTAGACATGTCAGTTTGGTATTTATTTATATTATAAATTAATAATACTGTTCTTATGAACAATGCTAATAATTGTAATTAATATGTCAGTGTTTAAAACAGGCTTAATATTTTTGTGACAAATAGTTGCCATTTGTTTATAATGTGAGGTTTGCTCGATCTACTTATTCCTTAGTATCTGATTGATATCATGAAGTGAACTATTATTTTGTAACTAAATAATAACAGGAATCACGAAATAAACCGTAATAAAAAATATCGTATATTTATGGTCAGTTATTCATAATCACTGTGGAGCTGAACACAGAAATGAGTTAGCCTAATTCGCCATGTCACTTCAACCCAACAAGATAAAGTTAACTGGCTAAACAGCAGATAGTTCAAGACAATCGCAGTGTCTATGATAACACAAAAGGCTAAAGATATAGAATATGGTTCGACAAGATGGAATGTAAAAGTACATATGAAGAAATACTGGAACTCAATATCTAAATGAAGATAAAGGGCAAATGTATATGCGCCGACATCGATTTTGATCTATTTCATCCAATGTTACCCGACCGTAGCTGCTACCTTGACATGGTGGTCGGGCTTGCCTATCGTGATGACCCAACCGAGCTATATTGGCTGCAACATAGGCTACTGTAGGTTCTACCATGCCAATCAGGTCGGTTGTATAACGGTAAGACTAAAAGCAGTAACTAAAGGTCTGAGGGCGAAGTCGTACTGCTAACTGTAGAGGGGTGTGACAGCAGTAAGGTGTTTCCTTCGGACAACCAGCATTTGCAGCGATGCTGCCTTCTCACAAGGAAGGAAGGGGTTAGAAAAGGTTGACCCTAAAAATGTCACACCTCACCTTACTTCACGGATTTCCGTCTCCAGCGGTAAGGCCGTTTGACGAACAGAGCTAACACATTAAAAACCTCCCACAAAAAGGCCGTGCGCGACCGGCCTTAAGCAGCTGTCCCTTGGGCTCTGCGGTCACGCTCCCAGGTCTTTAAGGCCAACACTAATCCGATTCCCTTTTCAGGTTCCTCAAGAAATACCCTTCCACGGTGTGGGCAACCGGGAAGTGACATCAGCCCTCATACCCGTAACAGCACACGAGACCAAGTTGGTCACATTCGAATTCTTCCTACACCTCCTAATAACTCTCTTATCTCCACGACTAACCCTTCTCACGTTCCTTCATCACCTCGCGTCTCTAGTGCAAACAATTCGAGTACACAGAACGTTATTCACGGTCTCCTGAAACCACGTTCTAAACTACATGTAGGAGCTTAAAACTTTCGAATATGACAACAGGCTTCCTTAGCTAGGACTTCAGAATCTCACGCCATCGATATGTGCTGCGTCTCCGAAACGCGTATACGGGATCGGAGTAGTGTCATTCATCTGAACTCACCATGTCAAAGTAACGAAACAACTCGATTTACGCTTCGTGTATCTGGAAGACCTGATGCTGCTTCCCGAGGCCTCGCTGGCGTAGGTATAGCATTGAGTCCTAGGGCAGAACTAGCTCTCTTAGACTGGATACCAATAGACAGTTGTTTGTGCGCTGTCCGACTAAACGGAACAGTAAGGACTCGGAAAGATAAAGACACTCACCGTTGCCTCTTCATCGTCTCTGCTTACTCTTCCACTAACTGCAGCTCAGATGATGTAGAAGATGAGTTTTATAGAAAGACACCTGGGTGAATCTTATAGTGTCGTGACTCAAAAAACAGATAATGGCGACCGTCTGTTGCAGCTATGCTCAGATAAACGCCTGTTTCTCGCAAACACTAACTTCAAGCATAAGGAAAAACATCTTTTGACATGGCGACCCCCTAATTCGTCCCAACGTTGAAGCCAAATAGATCACATCGCTATCAGCCACCGATGGAGGGGCTCGATAGAAGACTGTCGCTCATTCTGGAGCACATGCCTAGACTCAGATCATGTTCTAGTGCGAGCGCGTATCTGTCTACGTCTTACTGGACGTAGGAAAGATGGTGCAAGAAAACCCCTTAGGGTTCTACTTAATGATAGTCAAGCTAAGAGTATATTTCAGGAACAACTAGAAAAACAGTTAGGCAGCCATGTAAGTGATGCCCACCCCGAGGCAGCGTGGAACGACATCCGAAAAGCTGTAGAAACATCAGTGATATCTGCAAGTACGGTAAACCATAAGGTTAAGGAGAAACACTGGATCTCAGCAGCATCTACCGCACTGATAGATGCTCGTAAACTCATTCCATCTGGCTCTGAATATGACGCAGAGCGGAGTCAGCTTAAGCTCAGGCTGACAAGAAGCCTACGCAATGATCGTGAACGGTGGTGGGTAGCGAAAGCAAGAGAGATGGAAAAGGCAGCGGCAATAGATAACAGCAGACAACTGTTCAGACTTGTTAAGGAAACCGGTATTAGGAACCCGACTGTTACCGAAACAATCTCAGAGAAAGATGGACATATTATTCATTCTCAATCCAGGTGATTGGATCGATGGACAGAACACTTTAGGGATCATTTCAACTTGCCTTCAGCCACACTTTGGTTTGCCGCGATCCCCAATCTACCTGAATGGCAAATTAATGTAGGTACTCCAACTCTTTGCGAAGTTGAAAAAGCTATAGGAAATCTGAAGCGAGGGAGAGCAGCAGGCCCTGACAGGTTTACTCCTGAGATTTTTAATCATGGTGGTCCAGTATTAGCAGCGAGATTGACTGAGGTCTTAGGTAGAATTCGGGAACTGGACGTAATCTCATCTGACCGGTCTCAATCACTGATTGTGCCAGTTTATAAGAAAAGACAAAAGTCCTCTTGTGAAAATCACAGAGGAATCAGTTTGACTAATATAGTGTCTAAAATATTAGCTTCAATAATACTTCGACGCCTAACTAAAGCTTGTGAAGAGCAGACTAGAGAAATTCAGGCTGGTTTTCGACCGGGATGTGGTTGTATAAACCAGATATACATACTATGTTGGTCCTAGAATATAGTCACACATTCAAACGTCCCACAATGGTAGTATTTCTCGACCTTAAGGCGGCATTTGACTCTGTTGATCGTGAGGTTCTATGGCAGTGTTTGTCACTGAAAGGAGTACCAAAGAAGTGCATTAACCTTATAAAGGCTCTCTAATCGAACACAACTGACCGAGTGAGAGCTTATGGCAAACTGCCACCAGAATTGATTACCTCAAGTGGTGTTCGTCAGGGCTGTCCACTCTGTCCATGCTTGTTTAACTTTGTCGTTGACGTCAATTTAGAGATGACAATTTCCTCATCTAAATTTCCAGGGGTTGAACTTCTACCGGGAAATTCACTTGTTGACTTAGAATATGCCGATGACATAGTTCTGTTTGGTGAAGACGCTGACAAAATGCAGAGTCTGCTGATCACTCTAAGCAACAATGCAAAGATGTTTGGCATGCGATTCTCCCCCTCGAAATGCAAAATGTTGCTTCAGGATTGGGTTGCGTCGACACCCGAACTAGTGATAGGGAGTGAAGTAGTTGAGCGTGTCGACCGCTTCACTTATCTCGGAAGTCTCATCAGCCCTTGTGGTCTGGTGTGTGACGAAATCTCAGCACGCATACAGAAGGCTCGACTAGCTTTTGCCAACTTGCGTCATTTGTGGCGTAGGCGAGATATCCGTCTATCAACCAAAGGACGTGTTTACTGCGCAGCAGTTCGTTCCGTCCTACTTCATGGCAGTGAAACATGGCCAGTAAGAGTAGAGGATATTCGTAGGTTATTAGTATTCGATCATAGGTGTCTTCGAAACATTGCTCGTATATCCTGGGACCATTGAATAAGTAACGCAGTTGTTAGGAAACGGGTACTAGGTAAGGATGGCAAATCGATTGATGAAGTAGTGAAATTTCATCAGTTGAGATGGCTGGGATATATGTTACGTATGCCCAACAACCGACTTCCGCGACGAGCGATGTTTTATGGTGTAGGAGTGGGTTGGAAGAAAGCTAGGGCGGCCAGACCAAAACATGGCACAAATCCATGAAGTCACTGACAAGTGGAGTGAGCCATGTTGGTAGGTGTAGACTACCTGGTTGGGGTCCGCGAGATGATAGCAACCGATGGTTAGAGACCCTGAATGACATGGCTCAAAATCGTTTGAAATAGTGTGCGTAGGTGCATCGACTCTTTGTGTTCTCCCAAATTCTAATCTTTTGAATTCTTCATGTCCCTTTCTTTTCTTTCTCTTTCCAAGTTTATTCCACTGGATTGTACTCCTTGAATAACATCTTCAAACCCTAATGTTCCCTGTTACTACTTATACTTTCACTACCTCTATCACTACGGGATTTGAATCGATAACTGCATCTCTGTGCTAATGTGGTATGGAAACTCGAATTGATGTATGTACGTACGAAGTTCCAAGTTGTTACTGACTGACTATCAACTGATGACGAAAATAAGTCAAAAATGATCCTCCAAACTTAAGTGTTTCAATTTTTCGGACCACGTACTTACCGTGGAATCAATCTCCACGTACCCCGCATCCTGAATAGCTCATTCCCCCAAACACCGAAAAAGTGTATAAATATTCACACACTTTTCTGTGTATCATCAGTTTTATTGAAGAATAAATATTGTTTTCTTTTTTCTCAATAGTTTGAGGGTGGGTTCAACAGTTATTCGGGGCATAGTACAAGTTCTATTGCAAAATATTGCTTTGCATTTACTCTTGTGTTTACTTTTTCGTTAATATTCGATTCGCGTAGCTAGATGCGAGTCATAACAGTTAGTAACTGTTTTACTGTTGTCTTGATCAACTCAAATATTAATTACGTAACTACATAATAGATAATTTAGTTCACTGTGTATTAACTTTTTTTGTCTTTCAGCAAACCTATGCCACTATCCTTCATAATAATAAAGTCACTTATTGGATGCCTGAATGTGAAAAACAAGCCAAGATATATGGATTTGTTGATAGTATCAAGGTAGCACGTGATCTTTACACTGATTTAATGAAAGTATTCTACGCTCATCGAAAGTCAACGGAATATAATGGTTTTAGTAGTATGAAATTATTGAGTACTGTTAATGATACTAAAAATCCATCGTAAGTATTCCGACTTTTTGGTATAGGCGATGATTCTATGGTTCATGTTGGAACTGCTTGTAAAATTATGATTGTTTATTTCGAAATAATATGGATATCACGATATTTTGGTACCATGTTCAATGTTTTTAAGAGTATATATATCATGTCGACTCAGTTTACTTTTATTACTATATAACCTTACAATTTTCTTCCCTAAACGGCTGTTAACTGAATGGTTATCAAGTTTAAGAATTCACAGACAACACACCGTTATTTTTCGCTAATTACAGGTTGGAAGTGTTAAATCTTTGGAGGTAATCAACAGAAAACCCTGGACACAGGATTCGCACTTGTTGGTTTACTTACAGTCTTGATGAAACTGTCAAATCATCACCTAACATTATTACATATTGCAGGAAGTATCGATGCACTCAGACTAATGACTACATTGCGACTTAATCAATAGTATTCTGTTAACATTTAAATGCTAAAAAAATATGACATCAGTTACTATTCTGTAACCAATCACTTATATAGATTTTGTGTATTTGTGTTTAAACACCACACCGTACCTCTGAGCACTAGTGGTTATACATGAGTGCTCGAAACTGAAAAAGGGGAAATGACGTTAAAATTTGATTTATTTCCGGGGTCAAATAAATCCAAATTACCAGTCCTTGTGTTTTAATTACACGCCGTTGAGTCTTATTGTCGTTTCCTACATTGTAGACGTAGATCACGGCTTCGCGTATAAACGTGTACATACTGAGTTGCATTATTGTTTATTTACGTCGTTCGAAATTTTATCGACACCCTCTATGTAAACAACATATAAACATTTAATTACTCAACTAACGTTGTAATATATTTCGAAGGTCGGTATTTCAAAAAGACGACTTGTAGTTCATCTACTGAATGAAAGTTTTTATGTTCGGGTCTTGCGCTACGTTTTATGTGAAGGCTAATGATGCTAGCTTGCTGCTCAAGCTGAAGTAGATTAGTGCTAGAGCTCGAACCAGGTACCTTGTAGTTGGAAGCATAATGTTTTGACTGTCAGGCATATATGAACTTACTGTTCGCTCAATTCGAATCGTTTTGCATCCAAGACATACATTTTTATTTTCATAAAGGCTTCTTACAAATGGACCTTATATTTCCGTACACTGAGAGATTAGTTTGTACATTGGTTTTTGTCTCTTGAAAATTGGTTTGGATTTTGCCAATACAAACAGATATTGTATTCTTCGTTATTGACCACTGGATTCTTAATTATCCTCTAGATGATGTAACTTCGTAACTAGTAAAACGATTATTGCCAAGTCTTCCTCTATTCGACCCAGTTACTCCTATTGTTTAGGCTTCGGACATTTTACTTCACTCGACTAGTCCCCAAAATAGAAGGCGACTTGGACAGAAAATTAATTATATTTCAGAACAAACCGAGTTGAATAACAATGAATTCTTAGTAAGAAAAGTGTTAGAATACCTGTAATTCTACACAAGGTTCTGTAGTCTTTTAATCTGACAGCTCCGACTGGCTTGAAGTAGTTCAGTCAGCGTGCTCCGACATAATCTTCATGGATCGTGCTTTATTGCAATGTCCTACTAGCAATTGCATAATCAAAGAACAAATATCGTTGTAGAATAACATGAATTCATTTATTTCGTGGATTTCTTTCAGCCGCTTACAACCCATGGCCATAGTATGTATTATTCATGAAAGCGAAACAAGGTTACATACTTTATATTGGAAACGTCTTGAATAAATTGAGTTAATATGTGGGAGATAGAATAATAATCAAAGATAACAATATGGAAGAATTGACATCGCTTAAACGTTCGCTTATTTGCAGGTTGAATATATATTAATGTACTAGAACAGCATGGAAACAGAATTTTTTTCAAAATCGAAGATAAATTGTGTAATACTCACTTAAAAATACAGATAAGTTGAATAAAGCTCCCGAGTAAGAACTAAGTTATTTTAAATTTTAATTAAGGTTTGTGGAAAAATGTCTTTCGTAATAATCTCACGAAAAAAGGTCACTAGGGCAAGTCAAGATTGATAACAGTATCTTTTTGAATACGTCAATTTTGTTTAAATTTTCCTATTGCAATAGCTTCGAGAAAACGTAGCAGTTTTGGATTCCTTGACTTATTGAACATTTTGAAAGATTTCCAGACATTTGCATCATGTTCACTATCGAGTAAATTACGAGTGATTTTACTGTTGAAAACGTGTCCATTTAGTCCAAACTTTGTGGAATGTCTTCGGAGATGAGGACACTAATCACTCTCTGTTCTTTCTGTGTATGTGTTTGGAACGTACATATAAACTGGTAAGCACAATTGAAGGTAATATAAGGTGGAAATTTGCCCATATTTGATTGTCGTAATGAAGATTTAGTTTGGTATAACGACTTAGCCACTGGATACATCCTTTTTAGTATTGTTTTTAGCCTAAATTCAATCCCAGCTATTTCATCCGTTTTGAAGCTAAGTTTTAGAAAGACTGGCTTTTTCTCAACCGTAGAATATCCCATTTCCTTTTTTCTAGTCGTTCCATGTTTATTTGTAAACTTGCAGATAAGAGATGTTCAACTATGGCTGATCCCTTCTCGATTCTATCTTCAGAAAATCCCTTGCGAACACGATTGAATAACTCTCTGAATAAGGACTTTTTGTAGCCTATTGCACAGAAGCTATGGGCGTTCAAATAAAGCTCACTCAATATGTCGTTTCGATAAAGATGTCTTAACAGTCGGCTATTTGAATTACGATAAATACCAAGGTCTAGAAAATGAAACATGTTGTGTTCATATACCAATGCAAATCTAGTTTTAGGTTCCGTTTTTTATGCTGTTCTAGTACATTAATATATATTCAACCTGCAAATAAGCGAACGTTTAAGCGATGTCAATTCTTCCATATTGTTATCTTTGATTATTATTCTATCTCCCACATATTAACTCAATTTATTCAAGACGTTTCCAATATAAAGTATGTAACCTTGTTTCGCTTTCATGAATAATACATACTATGGCCATGGGTTGTAAGCGGCTGAAAGAAATCCACGAAACAAAAATGAATTCATGTTATTCTACAATTGCGTTAATTGTATTAAACTACTATGTTTGCATACTTTGTGTTTCCTGTATTTGATTCTAAAATAGAATTTTTTATGAGACTTAGTTTTCTTATAAACTTTATTTAAGTGCTCTACGCTCAATCGCTAATTCGTAGGTTTAAACACATTCCATATATTCACCTATGTGAGACACTGGATAGTAAAGTTAACTTTCAAAACTGTAATGTTAAATTCAAGCCTTTTCTTGTTTACTATGTTCTTATATATATATATATATATATATATATATATATATATATATATATATATATATATATATATATATATATATATATATATGGAGGTAGTTATCAGTTTATGATAAACGGATTTCAACGTTAAATGAAAATTCTATCCAATTTATGCTATGTTTACTGTATTTAAGTTACATTTTGGATTTGTCGGTTAGTGATATTACCGAGGCTGTACAAACTGAAATAGAAAAGTGTAGAATTTAAACCACTGAACCTGTGTGAACATACCTTTTTGAGGAGTCTCATCCTTGGATAAAACAGCTATCTAATGCTTCCTAGCCTTCAATGATTGTTGAAGGTCATGTCGTGACGTAACTTGTAATATTGAATTTAAGCTTTAATTCCAGCATTATATGACACAATTTATCCACAAATATGTTTATTTCAATCCTTTTTTTGTCATTTGATCTATTTTCTATTTTCAGCCATGTACAAGTATTAGATATAAATTTCTATATTAATGCTCAATATAACACTAATGATATCATCATAGAAAAATTATACCTTGGTAAATTAACCAATTTACAATTAATATTTCCAACTGTAAATAAAATAAAGTTGGCAGAGAAATTATTTCATGAAATACGTTTTATATCTGCTGCTGATTGGTTTATTAAGCATCAAGATAAAAAGACTGGTGGTTGGTCTGTTAATGTTCAACGTTCATTGAGTGGTAGAAAAGCTCTAAAACCTGGATGGTATTCTGCTATGGGTCAAGGTAATTCTAAATTGTTAATTTTTTCAATATTCTAACCAATAGTGTAACATCTTCAATTACTTTCTGTTGTAAGGTTCTAACGGAATTATACTACCGTAAAATGATTGTCTCTAGTGTATCTAAACGCATTTTGTCCTTGCTGCTTCAACGATAATTATTTAATGAATGGAGCTGAAATATTAATCGTAATACCAAATCTATTGTGTTGTGCTTTTGTCAACGGCTAATAGATATTATGTAAGAAGCATACATGTAATTCATTGTTGGTGCTAATTAATTATTAATGTTCACCTGTAGAATGTGATAAGTACATAGTTTTCGAAGAAAGCTTTTAAATAAAGACAGTGAATTGTTGTCAGTAAAGCGGATATTCACTGGTTAACGCTTAAAACTTTCAATCACTGGAAGGGATAATGACACAAAATATATTTGACAAAGCTGCCAAAATTGTTTAGTAAGCGTTTTGTACATATTCAAATGATACTTCTCGTTTGATTCATTTCAAGGTAGGGAACTAAGACTGACTAAATACATTATTCACTTAATCTTCATCTTTCTTCAACATGGCTAGCGAAGTGCGTCTGTTTTAATGCATTAGTTTGCTCTGTGCTCACTTTCAGTTATACAACATGGCAACGTTTACTGGGATCAGAAAATTTTTTAGGGTTCGATGGATACTGTGAGTCAATAATATCAGGCTTATTTCCGTAGTTTTAGATGGGTAGAGCAAGTCCATCAATGATGTTGTGAATATTCACTTACTGAGACATATTTTGTACAGTTTAAGCCTCCTTTAAAACTCCGTGTATGACAATTTGTTCTGTATTGGTTTGGCAAATAGAGTTGATTTCTTAATAAATAGAATAACACTGTATGCAGTTACTAATGTCGTGAATTTTGTTAGGAAATTTAGATTTCAATATTCAAGTTCCCTACTTGCTGGAAAACATTAATCACAGACAATAAATTACACAATTTAGGAGCAATCGCATGGAAATAGCTGCATTTATTTTGTATCGTTTAATTCACCAAACCTAAACTTCATTTGGTTATTTACAATCTTGTTAGTTTTCTCTCTCCCAGCTGACTAATATACTTAATTATAACTTTATTTCAGGTCAAGCGATTTCGCTTCTAGTTAGAACTTATAATTACACTGGGAACCCATTATATTTGGAAGCTTGTCATCGTGCATTAGATTTGTTTAGTGTAAATATAAATCATGGAGGTATTCGTTCGTATTTCCTCAATCAATCCGATTTAGTATGGTTCGAAGAGTACCCGTTTGATCCTCCCATTCATATATTAAATGGGTTTATTTATTCACTCATAGGTTTATATGATTATACCAAAGTAAGTTTAACGCTTTTAAAATTTGTATTTTATTAGAACCATATGATGAAGCATTTGATTATTTGTCTGATGCTTAGACCATAACATCAGTCCATGAAGTGTGGCAGTAGTCCAATGCCTAAAGTATTAGGAAATCAATCAGTGGGTTAAAGGTTTAAACTTTACTACAGCTATTTCAGTTCAGAAGCCTAGTTATGCTGTTATTTATTTATTTATTTTAACACATAGATATTGGTACAAGGAGGCACCAAATACATATGCGCCACACGAATCTCAATTGATTTGTGTGAGGGCTGTGATACTGCCCGGGTGCCCAGACCGAAGCAGGTGGTTTTCTTAGGGGGCCACACCCCGAGCCTTTGACCTGAACGTCTGATCCACAAGGCAGTGGAGCATCGTAAGTAGATGCAGTCCCATGGTAGCCGGTGACCAACGATTGGTTCATACGCCAGTTGTTCCTTCAGGATACTGGAGCCCATGTGCACCATTGGTTTGGGATCCGATTAAAGCGCCGGGCATTCGCTTTTCGTCCTCTCATTTTCGTAAACAACACCCCCGCCACGTGAAGGCAGTGAGTAGGACTTCCCTGGCAGATGCTATATACGCGTGGCCATGTGAGAGCATTTCGATAGGGAGAGCGGACTCTCCCCACTCTCGGACAGTCAACCTTAACATATAAGTGTAGTATGACAGTAAAGTATTAATTTTATAAAACATTGATGCTGTGGTGCATGCTACTTATGTCGACAGATACAAGTAGTCTGCAACACCAATCAGAAGTGGAATACTTGGTAGCAGAAGGTTGAAAAGATCGAATTGAAGTGAACAGAAGCGTAGGCAGAAAGTGATTGCAATGACAACAAGAATGAATGAACGATGAAGTTTGTAAGAGACAATTAATAAATAATATGGAAATGAAGTATTTGATGTATGGTTTTCATATTTTACGATGACATTCTGTAATGTCTAGCTTCAACCAATCCATGAAATTGAGCCACTGTCCACCATTGCCTTCAGGTCTGGTTGAACTCCACTGGTGGACAGTGGCGCGATTTCATGGAATGGTTGAAGCTGGACACTAACACCATTGGATGCCAGCTCAGTGGTCTAGAGGTTAGGCGTTCGCGTGCGAGACCGATGGATCTTGAGTTCGAGTCCCGCGAGCGTGATCGTGGATGTGCACTGTTGAGGAGTCCCATACTAGAATGAAACGGCCGTACAGTGCTTCCAAGTTTCTCATGGTGGTCTAGCTTTAATTGACTCATGAATTTAACCATTAAATTACTAAAATTTGCACAAAACTCCTTTCTGATAATTTTGTAACAACCAATAGATTGGTTTTTCCCACCTGAATGCTTGTTCAATACAGTATCACTAACTCTCCCACCAAATCTTTATGGTCCAAAACGATTTCATAATCTTGTAAGTGATAAATAAACTACTCTTGTTTAATGAAGTTATTGACTGTCGAGAAGTGAAAACTTCATGGTTATGTTTTGCTTAAAAACCACAACCAATAGTTGAAGACCTTAGGTAACGTAACTCTAAATTGAAAACAACGGCGCAGATGAATTCATTTTTAGTCTAAAATTACGCCTTCAAACCAGTGTTGTTCTAATAATCCTCAGTCTCTGACTTTATTTCATTTTTTCGGAACTTCTTAATGCAGTAATTTGGATGACTCTCCCACATTGTATGAGCATTCCATGTACCTAAATTAGTGATTGCTCTGGTTGTCAGAAGGGGCGTCAACCTCGTGACTTCCGAAGGAACTCGGTTTTCACTATGAGGCGTCATAATTCTTCTAAATGAAGACCTAAATCCCAGGGCAGAGTTCAAATGTTTTGAATTAATTTTTATGGTTAGCATTTTTTTAGCGAGTTAGTTTTCTACGGGACGGGGTCTCTAACCCCATGCCCAACCCTCCTTTACCCGGGCTTGGATCCAGCAGTAGTCCCAGATGGGCTCCAGTCGGAGTTGGAACTCCTTTATGTTTACTTTATATCTTATGCAATACAATTCCACTATTTTGTGAGACAGGTAGAATGATTATTAGTTTACTGTCTAAATATTTGATAAGCGCTTCTGTCATTTGAACGCAAAACTAATCATACTTAGTTTATTCGACTTTTTATATATTCACGAGACTGAGTCAGAAAGAAGTATGTTCAGTAGTTTAGTGCACCTTTGACTAATATGTTTTTTCACCTCTTTTGAAAATGAACCATTTATTGGTGTGCACTAATTACACTTTGAGTCTTTTTTGTTTATTACACATTCAATATAATATACACACTTTAAAATTAGAATTACATAACTTTAGAACAATTACTTAATTCCTCGTCTTCTATATTCCTTCCAATGTGGAAATTTAATCCAATCAAATGCCTAATTGCTTAATTTTCAAGACAATTTTTAACGCAACTATAACATGATAACAAATGCCATTTGATCTTAAGATATTATACAGCTATGAAAAAATACTTGACTCATTGGGATTTTACAAGTACATGATTTTTGTCAAAAAGCTCTACTGTTATGAAAATCTGTAATCTGTTTCTCTTATTCAAATGATTTCTGTTTTTTATTTTTATTTGATTTTTTACCGACTGGATTCCATGTGTAAAGATGATTCTCATACCATGATTTCGCATAAGTTTAGTTTTTATAAGAGTTATTGGTTCACACGACCTGTTTTCTCTCATTGTAGTTATTGGTGAACTCTCCAGATCCTTTGACTTCATCCTATCTTTTGAAAGCTCAAAATTATTTAGATTTAGGATTAACAAGTTTGTCCAAATTGCTCCCGCTATTCGATTCTGGTAGTGGGAGTTTCTATGATCTTCGTCATCTTTCAACGGACTATAATAATAAACCGGTGAAACAAGGTCGATCTAAATTTTCTAAAAGTCCTTTTCAATTATCCACTGGACCCAATCGAGCTCGTTGGAGTTATCATTCTGTGCACATTAAACAACTTCAAACTTTGGTTGATTTAGATCCAAAACACGCTATTCAATGGAATACTACAGCTAATCGATGGATTGCTTATCTTCAAGGTTTCAGATCTATTCAAAATTAATATGCTTACTTTTACTATCGAATTACTTTCAACATCTTTGTGTTTTAAGACGAATTCCTATCATTTACACTACTGTTGCATATATATACCAGTCAGTAATTTGCATTTATTTTGATATTAGTCATTATACATTATATGTATACAATATCCAAGTGATTATTAGGGAATTACATGTAATTTCGTTTACTTATATATTATTCATTTAAAACAATGCTTAAACGTTTAAGATTAAGATAAGGGACACACCCAGTTATCTATTGGATAATTTGTAAGACATTCTTATTAATGGATCACTTGAATGTTGGTTTACTTTTTTGTATTTTATGACTAAATAAACTTCCAGTTTCTTTTGGTGTTTTCTACTTATGGCTAACAATAATATTGCATCAACTAGTTCCCACACGGCTTTTGTAGATATGGACATCCTCTTTTTTGACAGTGATACCTCGATCAAAGATTTTTCAGTTGAGAAACATTCAAGTTCACGAGCGACATATTTTTACAAGTAACTCCTATTGCTGAAAACATTGGTTCACTGGTTATACACGTGTTCCGATTATATCGCTATTGTATATAGACTGGAAATCCCAAAATCTTGCTGAACATAAGTGTTTTTTCCCAATCAATAGTGAACTGAGTTGTAACCCTAATTTGCAGTAATGTTAGACGAATTTACATCTTGTTGTAATAATGATGCGTAGTAAACCATTCAGCTAATATTAACTGCTTCTTTTCCTCGCATTTACAGCAATACGGAAAGGCGGACCAGTTTTTCTAACAGGTGCTGATAACAGTTGGATTCTTCAAGACACCCTTGGTTTCGAAATATGGGTGTGTTTACGACACCCCGTCTTAGAATCCAGTTGCTCATGTTTCAGCTTATGTGACAAGTTGATAGGGCATCCTGAAGATAATGCAAGAACACAGTCTTAATGTTTATTTAAAATTCAACTTGTTCGGATATCTCAATGGAAATTGATAAATAATCCATCATCCATATAGCGCTTATTACTTATTTGTTAACAGCATACACTGTCAGTGCATAAAATAAACCAAACGTACTTACTTCACATATTTCATGCGTGCCTTCACTTACAAGTTAGATACATGTCATCAATTCAAAGAAAGATTACAAACCATCATTTGAATAGTATTCTATTCTGAATTACTTCCAAAGTTTTTAATTCCTCAGCATCCATGGGATTTTTCTAATCGAACATACTTTGTATATTCAAAAAGTTTTATTTTTAAACGGCATAATGCGAATGAGGTTGCAGGGGTAAAACACATTTCTGTATAGATTAGTAAAATACTACCATTCATTTTTTAATAACAGGTTCAATATCTTTCTTACTAATGAGGTTGTATTTAGCTGTCACCGGTACACACAGTTATCTTGTGGTTCCTAATACAATTGGTGTTTCTTTGTCAATTAGTTTTGTCCTCGACTACTGTTCATTTTAATAGAGCTTTCTTTTGGAAAATCATATTTTCTGTGACAACTTTTTTTCCGATGTTGGATAAAGTGTCTTGTTATAGCGTAGATGATAATAAACATTACATACAAGAGAAAACAATAGGATTGGATCAATTATGAACTTGAATATAGTAAATACACTGTTTTACAGCAATACGAAAAAAATTGGACAATTGCATGGGATAATAGCAGGATCTCAGGATTTTTGTGGGGTTCACTTTTATCACGCTTAAGTGTGGGTAATCATTCCTGAAAATTAAAGCATCTGGTTCTGTATAAAAGTCAATTCGTGTTTCGTTTGGTGACTCGTGTATTAAACCAGTTTGGCGTAATTTTTCGGTTAAGTAACAGTAAAATTACAAGCAGACGTCATAGCATTTGTAAGATAATAGTCTGTCGTATGTCAGCACTTACAATACTTTCTAATTAAGAGGGAGTAAGCTAATCCTTTATTGTTCTTTTTATGATTTAGAATCCTGACCAAAAGCTAATTATACTTCCAGTTTAGTTAATTATATACGGTTCTAGTGTTTAAAATGAACCTATTACAGCTATCGAGTAGTTAATTTAAAGGCTGGGACATCATTGTGAAGCTTTGATTTATGACAATAGTATTTATTGTTTAAAGTGACGACTAGCTAGTTTGGTCAATTTGAGGTTACCGACGAAAACAGGAAATGATATGGACGTAGATTTTCTGAAGTGTATTGTTGCTTACTCAGTCTGTAGAGTAGTATAGATCCTTTTATTCACTGATCATATCTGAATGAAGATTTTCGGTGGAGTTCACATAGTACATAATCTAAAATATGGTCTAAATTCTGTCAGAGCATGGTTTAAATTTCAATAGTTCCAAATATAGAAATCATATAAACTATACCGTAAATAGAACTACTATTATGAGTTTAAGTACTTGAATCGAGAGAACGGTGATTCGGTATTTAAGGCATTCGATTTTAAGTCACTGCTTTTCCGGTTTGAACCTCACTTCACCGGGTGATAACACATGCTTACGTTTAATGTGGCTCAAGACTAAGTACACAAATATACTACTGATAGAAGAGTTGTTTTGTCAACTGAGAAAAAGAATGGCAATTACTGGCAGGAATAGATTGACTAAAAATGGTGTTTACAACGTCTACAGAATTTGTTTATAACAAAGTTTAACTATGTTGCTTGATATGATTTCCCTTAAAGTACGTCAATTACACCTGCTCTCTTTGTCAATTCAACCATCAAGTAAACTGACTTTGTGAATAGTTTGCAGTTAGTAAATATGGATATAAATATACACAGTCGTTTGATTTTCGCATCCATCTTTTGACAAGTCGTATGTAATTAAACATGTAAATATACTGATTAGTTGGGTTACGTTTCAATAAATCTGATAATTATTAAGCTTAATATATTTTTGTTGGCTTCAAAATTCTTTGATATTATGATAAGAAAATCCAAAGCTTGCAGCGACTTTATTGCGAAAACTGTGTATTTTTTTCCTAGCGTGTGAAATTCATGAAGACCGTCGAGTCGAAAGATGTATGCCACCGTGACGATCTTCAGCGTCTCATGAGTTATCTTGAGGAACTAAGGCTTATTTTAGCTGGTCAGAGTGCAGTTAATATGATAGAACAATGCATTAATAAAATTCCGAGAAATTACAATTACAACCTCTGGATCCTCTGTAAGGTTGATATGACTAGATGAAAAGGCAAAACTATATTCTTAACTCATTGTGATTCTAGTCCAACACTATTTCCGTTTTTAATTTAATACGAAGATTAATTGGTATAATTTTTATTAAGTTCTTTGTCCAACAAGTCTTCTGGAACAAAAATTCTTCATTTCCTCACTCTATATCTTATCTATATTCCATTTAATGTCAACAGTCACTCGTTACATAGACGACATCAAAAGAATCTCAAGTGACCTTGACAAATTTCAGCTAATCAAATCAGTCGGTATAGATTCAGAATATATTACACAAGAACAAAAAATATATTTCTTTAACATGGTTTAAAAACTTTCAAGGTTAGAAAGAGGCTCTACAGTACTAAAATCGTAATGCATACAGCAGAAGAACTCATCCATTTGACTCCAAAATAGTCGACCATTGGAGCCATGGTAAGGTCGCAAAAATTCTTTTAGCATCGACCAAATTACCTCTGCATTATTGGTGTGTACTCCCGTGGTGGGGTCTGCAGAATATCACTCGTGAACGACGATACGATACGCGTAACCAAGTCTAAATAGGCACCGATGTGCTTTACAGTCATCCGTGTATTCTGCGGTACCCGTTTGTACATGCTCTCCTATGATTGATATTATCATTGTAGCCTGTCAGTTTTTCAAGCGCTCAAAGTGTCCCTTTTGAGATGATCCATCATATATACCAAGGACCTGCTACATATACTTAAAGAAGAACTACTTACCCAATTTTCTTTAAAACTTCCTTTATTGAATTCGAGTTTTCTAACGACCGCTTTGTCGATTTCTATGATTCTCCTGATTCCTCCAAACGACTGATGCAAGCTTATGATTTTCATTGCACATATATCTCGACAGTACTCATACCATTGAGCTGCCGAATCCTCAGTAACATCTGCAAAAGTTACAGCCAGTGTTACTTATGATCTTTTTATCCAGTATGCAACAACTATCATAATTTGTCTCAGTGTCTATCGGGATTGAGCGAAGAAAGTCCCCGTTCTAGCAGACGTTTTCCTCCAGCATATATTACATCGAATTACAAAATCGTCACGTTAGTCTGCATAGTGTCCAGCAGTCATTTGAACACCACAATAACAAATAAAGGAACTTCTCAGTAATCCCATCTGTGTTAGCTGCTCAACTATAACGACCTCCTTGAAATCCTTTGTAAAATGATCGTACGTGAACATTGGGTGTTGAAATGGGCGCCGTGACCATGAAATCGCTCACTCGCTTTTGATTGGCTCGTCCATAAATTATAGTCTCGTCATCATTTAAAAAAAACTCGATACCTAGTGAATGTTGTAAGTAAAATTCCTAAAATTAACATCCTCACTCAAAATGTGCTGTGTGATCTAGGTATATTTTTGCTATGATTGCTTCGCCCTAGAACGTCAGTAAAACATTTTTACTGCCTAGCTCTATAGCTTGTATCACAAGCAGACCTTCTAAAGACAACCATTGAGAACCATAAAGCACTGTGCGTTTTTCGTTATATTATGTGATTCGTCAGTAATGCACCCATATTACCCTTCTTTAAACTGTCAGATCTCACATTGAGAGGTCAACCTTTAAGCAATTGTCATCAGATTTTATTAAGTATTATCTTCTATTCCACTACAATGATCACTTGATATATTCATTTTGAAAAATTACGATTTTCACAAAATTTATTAGGAAAACTACAGATTTTATTAAATATCATTATTTAACCTGCTACAATGATATATGTATATTACTAATAAAAATGAAATGATCGAATTGTCATTCTTATAATTTACGTGCACAATCAAGATACTTTATCACTATAAGGATAACTGATTTTCGTACACTTTGTAACGACACTCGTCTGATCAGCAGTTTCTCTACAAATCTCTTCACTAACATAACTGTAGTTGCATCAAATTGATATTATTGACTTGGCTCAAGTGAACTCAATTCACTGAAGGCAGTGAGAATTTATATAGTTTCGGAATATCAATCATTCACTAAATGGGTTTAAATTACTTATATGAGAGGGTTTAGTTGGAAGTTATATTAAAGACATATTAGTATATAAACCTTCTCATGTAAGTAATTTAAATACATTATGTAATTATGATTTTAGGTATCACAGGTTGTAAGCAACTGATGAGAACTAACGAAATAAAATGAATTCATGTTATTCTGCTAGAATGATAAAGGGAACTATGTGTATGACATTTACTAAATATTTTTTCATACTAAACTGATGTGCACTACAATCAAACATTGTAATGAACAGATCCAACCTAAGTGCTAGTGTACTGTTCTTACTTTTGATTATTTTATGTAGACAGAGGAAAAAGATTAAATGTATTCTAGGCTGTACGCGCGAAATGGTACTTGTTTACGAATTTCACACCTACTAGGGTGATTAGATTAGTCAAGATAATGTCCTCGTGGATGATGACATATAACTAGGTGAGCAATCTGATTCGTTATGGCTAATTTGCTCTTATATCTACTCTACCGTATAAGTATGTTACATTATAAGAATTGGCTTACTTTGCTTAATAAAAATGGTTAAACGAAGTGAATTACTGGAGAACTTGGACAAATTCATTTGTATTTCTTTTGATCGTTCAAAAATCATTAATGCGATTGAATTTGTAACTTGATTCTATCACATTTGACTAGTAATGAGCAAAAACTAGATTTTGTACATCTCTTAAAGTCATTTGCTGTATCGCCTGTTCCACTCAAACAGGATTTGAACTGGCCACTTTTACGCATTCGAATCCATCAAGAGTCGAACCGAAAACCTTGATCTGTGTTTTTGCACAGGAACTCATATATAATAAATACATTTATTCATTTTAACCCATTTTCTTGATAACTTTTCCCCATTATAGATGCCTAGTTAGGATTTACTCCATTATTTTATTCATACTGTTCCATAAAATTAAAGTTTTCTTAACATTGCTTTGGTTCAGATAGTGTTTGAATCCTAATAATTTACCGAAAGATCCTGTTGAGTAAAATCTAACTGCAAGTTAAATTTATGAACTAATTTATATTCTGTTAGAAAAGATTGACTAATATTTAGACTGCAAAACTATCAGGAGTACATTGTGGTGGTCTTCTTAACGTAAATTCTAAAGTAGTAGTATTTTTAGTATTTAGAAAATACTCAAATAGTATCACTTGTACATAACTAAACTAGATTATCGAACTAAATATTATATTGAGTTATCAATTTAATCTTTGAGTCAAACATGTCTAGTAGAGATTATACTTGGTACAGATCGTCAATATAATGTAGAAAGCATGAAACAGAAATATTTGTTATCATTACGACTATATTATTGAATTTAGGGAAAAAGTCAACGAATTGTATGTCTAAAAAAATAAATCCTCTCTAAAACCAACCAAACTAGATTTTATTCCGCTGGCTAGGTAATGGGTCTGTTATTTTATTTCGCAGATGCGCTTTTACGGGAAAGTTCCCATTATTTACAGTTCAGTCACCCTAACGATTTTTTCTGTCATTATAACAGATATCAACTAGGTGTACAATAAAAATATCAACCTAGCTTTGCAATCTCACGTATTTTAAAACCTTAAACAAAATAAACATTGAACGATACAACTGTTGTATAAACAATATCACAAGAACTTACTAATTTGATTGTCTAAACATTCAAATGGTGTTTGTTTCAATTCAATAAAACAAATAAATTGTCTCTATCTATAATATTGTGTTACAAAAAACGTGAAATGTACTAAAGTTAACTCAGTTATTTCATATATATATATATATATATATATATATATATATATATATATATATATAATGCATATTGAATAATCTCAGTGTAATAAACCTTTATGTGCCTGTACTTATCAGTGTTTGTTTTCAAATACACCAAATTATGCCTAATCTAAGAATTTTTAATATGTATACACAGTCCTAATACTGACATCATTTTAGTACTTGCCCACATTCCAATCGGTATATCTTCAAAAAGGTTGTAAATTGATGCCCATAACACAATGAAAAATGTGCAAAGTAGTCACGATAAAGAAAATCAATTATCAGTTATGAAGATTTCTACTTCAACTCCGATTATTGCCAATGATACTGCTACTACTTCGACAAATGCTACTCCGGGAAATAATTTCAGTTGTTTAAATCAAACAATTATTGATATTGAAAATATCTTGTATAAAAACTGTATAGAACTTAGTCAACATGAAACTAAATTAATCACATTATTAGAGAGATCTGAAGCTATGGAAAAAAATGTAAGTAGACGGGTTAACTATATATGTATAATATTTATCATTAACTCTCTACTCAATGCTTAATTTATTTAATACAATCTAGTTCAAACTCGGCATTGATACCTACATTGTGAATTTATGTCCAGAAAAACAATGTGGAACACTGATGGTAGTAACAAACCACAAGGGCAGAACTGAATGGATAGGTGGTGAACAAATGATAGGTCTGAATAAAATGAGTACAGCTCATTTAGCTCAAAATGTAATCATCAACATCTAAATCGCTTCAGGCTCACTATTTTTAAGTATAACGTCTGGCTACTTGTAAGTAGTTAAAGTGTGGACTTAATAAATTGTTAAATTAGGCACAAGTTACTTGATGCTTTATCTAAAACTGGTCATAAAGATAGATTGATCATATCCGATAAACTTTTAAAACTGCATAGATTTCAGACTTAATCAGTTTAATTATGAGTAGAAGAAACTGACAGGAAAACGTCTTGGACTGAATTTTTGTTTTAACAGAAGTAATCGAGTTTTCTGGTTTAATAAATGTAGAGATTTCACTCAGACAACAATTCTCCACAAATTTCATGGTGGCACTGTAGATAATGGGAATTCAGTGACTTTAAACGTGCTAAGAGTTGTGACATGACTGGCAGTCTACTTTGAAATCCCATCAAGTGATATAAGTCAAAATTGTTTTGGTGGTAATCTTGAAGGATTAACGTCGATTGGGTTACCATTAGAAATTAAAGAGCACCGAATGGTTATCTCATCCCAGTTCAGAACACTACAGAAACGTGAACACTCGACCTTATCATGGTCCAAACCATATTTCTACACATTAAACCTTTGGATTGGCTTGGGATGTTAAGTATTTCCGATGTAAATGAATTCATAATAAAGCAAACGGCCACGAAGTCCCATTCTACGAAGAATATACTGTTCAGCACGCCAGGATCTTTAATGGAACCCAAAGTGATGCCAACGTATCACAATTATCACTTAAAAAGTGCACTAATCTACAAGAGGTTTTTACATTAATACTATGACTTATATATTAAATTTATCTTTTGAGAAATAAGCACCAATATGGACAATATGCTGTGCTCTTGTTAAACGAACATTCTGTTTGCCCAATTATTCAATCAGGTTCCTGTTTTATTCGATTACTATAAATAAATAATTATATTTAGAGTTTTTCAAAAAAATTTTCCTGAACTTACAATGTACACTTAACTGTTTATAATGGAGATATTCATCTTATTGAATAATGTATATTAATCGTGAGTTTTAAAAAAAATCCAATGCATTTGTCAGATATATGTAAAAAATAATGATAAACTTTGTCCAGGAGATGCTTTTCAAGTAACAAATTAATTTCAACATAGTTTTTGTCAAGGTACAGTACCGACTAGAGAATTATCGTTAAATATTATGTTGTCATTGTATTATACAGTATTGAATCTGAAATTTTCGAATCTGGTTAAAGTAAAACCCTTACTAGCATTAAACCAATAAGATATACTACAAATGTATTACTTATTTATATCATCTACTGATTTTACGGTGCAGTTATATATTAATGATATGGATTTTATTTGGTCTTAGACGGTTGTATGCAATTATTAAGAAGTCCTAAGCCGTTTTAAGATCAAAGCATCGTTTGTACAACGCAAACGATTGCATTAGCTCAGTGATAACGTCTTTTGCTACAACACTAAGTTAACTTGACTCCATTCTTAATGGAGTAGCAGTTGTCTTAAGATTGTAGAAATGTCATATTGATTAGTACTTGATAGTATAAAAACTAGGATCAGGATTTTTACCTTTAACAACATTCAAAACCTATTACCTCCAATAGTATCTTCAAAATAAATATAATGGTTACAACTAGTCTAAGTGAAATCTGATCATATTTTCGGTAAGATTTTATTCCAGAAGATTTCCTGATTGGATAAATGATTTAGCCGGGTTTCCTTCAATGAGTTGGATTGTTTATCCTGGAAGCTTTCATTGTCCTTCTGGATAACATCATCAGGACAAAGTTAAAATAGAAGTGAGCTACGTGAATTTCTTCACATATGAGTGACAGCTTGTTTTGTTGACACTGAGTTTGATTGGTTATTGTTGAATTCTGCCCGGTTATTATTTACATATTTCTTTTGGTGGCTTTCCTCTTTGATCTGTCCTTTAATCTTTTATTTATTAAAAATCAGGTCAAAGAGAAAAGCCACCAAAAGAAATATGTAAATAATAACCGGGCAGAATTCAACAATAACCAATCAAACTCAGTGTCAACAAAACAAGCTGTCACTCATATGTGAAGAAATTCACGTAGCTCACTTCTATTCTAACTTTGTCCTGATGATGTTATCCAGAAGGACAATGAAAGCTTCAGTGTTATCAACCAAAGCTCATCAGAATAAATCACAGATTAGTCAAGAAATTAAGTACGTGAAATTTTTACACAAACTAATTCGCTGGCGAATAATCAGCTAAAACTTTTAACTAGTTCATTTTATTATCAGTCAAATTAGAAAGTTTGCGAACTTTTCAGCTTTACGTCAAGAATGCATTAAAATACTGAACCGATGAGTTAAATTGATTGGATTAGAGAAATGGCTTAAAATCCATCTAATCCCTGTCAAATCTGTGATTTTGGATAGTTTTTGTTTAGGGTATTATATTCTTATGGAGTTTAGATAACGAGCATAGCTCTAGAACGTTCATAATTACAATATCGATTAGTTGATTGGACAGTTATTTACTTTTTAACAGTAAGTTTCAAAATCAAAGAATATATATCAGCCTTTTCTATGCAATCGAATATCCAACTTGTTAACTATCATAACTTTTAGGGACCTATACAGATGCAGCTAGCGCAAATATCGTATTCCACTAGGAAGCCATTCGCTACCTGAATAGCTCAACGATACTATCACTGGTTGTAACACGTGGTAACGTCTATCCGTATTCCACATTCAGATTACAGATACAAATTGTTGACAGTATCAAATAACATGAAGCACAGAACCAGTGCCTTTTGTCATTTGCCTTCAGCCATTTATCACCTAAGCTATTATTGTCATTATCAATATTCCTAGAGTCAGAAATAAATATTTAGAAATTCATATGACCTAACTGTAGTAAATTACAATAAGTCCCCTATGAAATTTATTCTCTTCAGGGCGAAAGAAATAGGCCATTTCAAACTACTCCATTTGTCTGATTTGACGTTCTTCATATTTGACCTGAATATAATTAACTAATTTAGTTTAAGTGAAAGTTTGGTCAACTATTAAAAAACTCATTCAGTTTATTGATCGGTCGCTCTTTACAAGCATTACAATCAATATTTACCATTTAATCCCTCTCCATCTATTGAAATCAGTCATTTGATCATTAAAAATAATTGAATTAGTTTGTATTCAGTTATTTGCTGTTCCAGGTGATTGATTCAAGTTTCCTGCTTCTATATGTAAAAGACTGTACCACACCTTGAAAAAATTTAATCTTAAGGAAATTTTTCACATTTGATTGTTTTGTTTAATTTAGTTATTGTCTAAAGATTGCTTTATGACAGTGAAGATCACCTCTCTTAATCTCAGTGCATTCCTGTAGCGAAGAAATTAAACGAATTTGTATCATAACTATAGTCAGAATTTTCTTTAGACTTCAACAATAACTGTTTACTTTTAAATTATTTTAACATGCAAAATAATAGCAAAAATTGAGTGTAACAAGACATGAATTGATGCTTGGGAAATCAAACCGTAATGAAGTAAACGTATTTGTTGATAGTTGAGCAGTTTTACGTTAGGTTTGAACTGACGATTCTTCCTTATTAAAATGATCCCGAAGCTTTATTGTGGTAATGACATTTTGTCCTCCTGTAATACTTCGAATTAATGACATGAATTCATTATTTTCAAAACGCTCAGTTCAACAGTCCTACTGATGGCATTGGAATCAATTAAAGTTAGGCATGTCAACTATTGGATATTGGACCAGTTATCTAAGGATTAAGGCCTCATTGAGAGTTCTAAAAGTCCTGATTTCGACCCGTCGTAGGGTCATGGTTTTTAGGAGTCCTGTACCAAGACGAAATAGCTGTCTATTGTTTTCCAGTTTTCAACGGTTAATTAACTGATGTCAGTATGGGATGTAAACCATGAAACTCAACAGGAGATGTTTTTTATGAATAAGATTAATAATGCGAATTGTCATTAACCAAAATGTGGTTAGTTTTGCAGGTGACAACAAAGTTCATTTCTTGAGAAGAGCTTTCGCACTCTAAATCTCTCCAACTATGAAACATTTAATCTAATGAAATACAAAAATAAAATCATGGGTAATATTGTTTATTATGCGATATAAAGGGTCACTAATGTATGGTTGACTTATTTATAATGAAAAGCTCACAGACCAGTGACCTTTGAAGAAAGTTGTAGTTCACCGTCCAAATACGATGTAACAAAGGCTGTATATATTTTATTCCTGAGCTTTTTTTGTGTGGCGCTGGCTGAGTGATGAAAAAAACATTTAAGTTTTGTGATGCAAAATCCCATCATCTAGAGATTTACAACTTGATTTTCACCGGTAATTAGAATGTATATCAAGTTTGGATGTTTCTTCAGTAATTGACGACTTCATTCAACAAATGATAGTCATCCTCATAGAAAGTGATCAGTAATAACATATGATACGATTATGTTTTCCTAGGATAACTATTAAACTCTACTGTCAAGATAAACAAGGACTCTTAAACCTTCAACCATTTCAGCTGGTAATATACACATGAATTCCAATATTTTATGAATAGTATTTATGAATACAATATCAGATGCAGTTTCCGATATCATCTTATTTAATGTTATCGGCTTCCGTGCGATTGTCCAGTATCAAAAAATGCTTTCGGCATATGTAAAACATTTTTCTGGAACATTTAAACCTGCTAAGACAACTTATTTCTCAGTATATATAGGTTTCCCTAAACACCTTCGTTGGGGAAATAACCATCGATTTTTGGAACCGAATTTCTTCAATTCTACTGGCTGAGACAGTTGATGTGATTAGGTTTTCTTAGGATAAAAATAGAATTTTTTTAATTAAATGAACCTGTTCATATGATTTCCAAGAAAAGAATTACAACCATATTCTTTTTAACTCTTAGTTCATACTAATGTTATGAATGAAATGAAACACTGGCTAATTAATATAGAGCTCTTTGGCAATTTTGAAATTTAAAGCAATTAGTCCCATTGATAAACTTTGACAGTGTAATAAAAAGACGATAATCTCCTAAAATGATCCGATCTATGATAGAGGTATTTTTCAATGCTCACCGAATTCCAGTAATCCTTCAGCATTTAGACCTGGATAGGAATCACGAATATCTGTCAATCACTTTTACTGCCTATATCTGTATGCCCTTGCAAACAGTATTTGACATCATCTGAAGGTCTGGAGAACAGCACGAGTTATAAATTATCCAACTAGCAGTCCGTCTCAATCTAGGATATAAGTGTTGTCGATTGGTACCTTATTTTTGAACGGTTCACCAACAGAGATTAGTCTTCACTGAAAAGTCGTCTAATATTTATCAGTTTGTATACTTCATGTTTGCAGACAGAATCACTATCTTGAAAATTTTCTAGAATAAGAATTTTTTTATCTAATTATATATTGGATGGGCATCAAAGCAAAATAATCTTAACTGAATGTATGCATTAACAGACTTAAAAACGTTCAACTAACATTTCATAATCATCAAGTCTGAGAATGACTCACTTTTTCTTGAACTATGATATTCAAATCAAATCTGATCGGATTATATATTTAGAAAATTTTAAATTGTGACCTTCAATGATAATCAATAATTTCTTATTTAGATCGCTAACAAAAAACAGGTTATGATGAATAAAATTAAACAAATTCACTACATTGTTCAGTGTGAACCTTTAACAGAGATTTATTTATAAATAAAGAAAACAACGAATAGACTTATAAGTATTACGGCGTTTTTACAAATATGTAAATTAGATTACTTTAAAATAACGATGACAGTAAACCTAATAGGTGTTACTAAAAGTAGTCCAATACAACTAATAATTTATCTCTTAAACCTTTAGATATGAGTTGTATCACTGAAAGAACAGTGTATATAATTTGCTATTTCATAGAAGCAATCAACGTAAACATTAACCACTTACTCGAATAATCTAGCTGTTTATTATGCTCTATTCTTGCACTCATACAGTGACTTATTATTTTACAATGGTATTTTGTATAACTTAGGTCAACTGGTCTGATGAACTCATTGTGCCCTTCATTTTCATCTTAAAACGAAAACAGATCACAGGCATTGGACAGAAAATCAATAATGTTAATGTAGATATACTTATTCAGTTTCAAGCTATAAATTTTTGTAAATGCATTGATAATACTACTCTCCTGACCAAATAGAAGTAAATGACGGGAGTTGAAATGTGTGGGGATGGTTATAGGTTATATGTTTTCAATACTAAGCCACCATTGGATATTCAAAAAGCAATAACAAATTAAAATTAAGTGATGATGAATATCGTAAAATCAATAATTGAAATCATGAGTCAATTAAAGCTAAGCTACCATGGAAAACCTGGAAGCATTGGACAGCCGTTTCGTCTTAGTATGGGACTCCTCAGCAGTGCGCACCCACGATCCCGCCCCCCCGCGAGATCCGAACCCAGGACCTACCAGTCTCGCTTCAGGCACTCAACCAACTAGACCATACAGCCGTCCAGTGCTTCCAGGTTTTTATGGTGGTCTAGTTTCAATTGACTCATGATTTCAACTATTGAAATTACTAAAATCTCCACAAAACCCCTTCTGAAAACATCGTAAAAGTCAGTTTTGTGATTGACGGTTAATAACGGACGGATAATGTGCTGTCACTGGAGCATGTAAACTCAGTTTGTTTTGCGGCGAATTCATAGGTAAACGCTTCTAAGTTGATGTTTAATATAGTCTCAATAAGGTTCAGGCTTTCTTTAATTATTATTGAGTTTCCTTATTTTATATATTAATTAAAATGTGCAATCTATCATACAATAGATTTTTTCTCACACCCCTCCCCAAAGTTCTACTTTTACTGATGTTGAACAGATTTGCCTTGAAATTACAATCTTTAGCTACGATTTAAACATAACTCATTGAATAACTTTATGAAAGACAGCCAGTAGTTGAATAAATCTGAAAAAATGTTTTTCATTACTGACAGATATCGATGGGAGAATAAGTGTAAAATAAGTTAGCATATACTCTTTTCTTTAGTGAAAGGCTATTTGTTTCCATGATTTACTCAATCAATTCTAAAAGTTACGGAATATAATTCACTGGAATGAACACATTTCATGTAACCGGGCTTTATGTCACACTGAGTGAAATAGTCTGGCTTCTGAAACTGAAGAAGGAGAATTGAGGTTTGAGTCTACGACCGGTTAGTTGGAAACCGAAATTAAGAGGCTAATTGCGAATAGATGGAGTACCGTTGAGAGTGGAATATATTTCACGTTCAGTGGTTTTTAAGTCTTCTTGAATATTACAGTGTGAGGTGTTACCAGTTAACGATTATTATTGATTTCGAGCTGAACAAATCTTCAGCAATCATCTAACTGTTTCAAATTTATTTTATTATAACGATTACTATATTTACTGAACCAAAAGTGGATAAGGCTAGAATATTATGAAGATATAATGTAAACTGACGATAATCTTTTGTAAAAGTATACAACTCAAGTAAAATATTCCGATTCGATTTTAAAAAGACTACATTTTAAATTAATTCACAGCATACACTTATCTCCAGTCAGTTGAGATTCGGTCAGTTTTAGATGATGGAGAATGTTTATAGCTTAAGATGAGGATTTGGGATTGGTTGTATTTTTTGAGGAACAGCTGTCAGTCATCAAGAAAGTCAGAACTCTTGATATAAATGTCAAGACAGGTCTCTTGTTCAGGGCTGAAACTTGGAGAGTTAGTACAACTATTATCAAAGAAATACTCAATACCCGTTGACCAGCTATCATCAGTAACAACCTACTCTGGCACAGAAAAAAAGTTTCCAGTTGAAGAAGAAATTATTAACGAACGCTAGATGTGGATAGGACATGCATTGCGGAAATCATCAAACCAAGTCAAAAAGCAAGCCTTGACTTGGAATTCCGGAGACAAAGGTAAAAGAGACAGACCAACGAATATTCTGCCTCGGGATTAGGAGACAGACATCATAGGAACAAATAGCACTTGGAACTAACTAGATAGGAGAGCTCAGGACAGAGTCTTAGATTGCTGATCGACCGTCTTTGCTCAACAAAGGGTAAAAATAGAAAATTTCAAAAATTCTAAAGTGTATGGTTTAATCTTGATGCTTCCATTGTCTTTCTAGACTAAATCATCAACATGTGTTTCAAAAAGTAGAAGAGCATGTGCTGCAGCCTAGAAAGACAAAGCAATTTTCACGATCAAACCATCCATCTCTGAGATCACCATACTTACAAAATTACTTTTTAAAATACTGTCCAAGCTTATTCACAAATCACCTATTATTCCAAGTAAAAACAACAGTTATAAAATTTTCGCAGAATTCCTCTATCTTGAAATAGATAATGTAATTGTCAATTAATTTATTCCAATTCTATCAACAGTTGTGATTCTAAATAGATTACTGTAGATGCTAAGGCGTAGCCAATAGTAATAACAATTATTATTATTGTTGTTCACGTTACTATAGCCAGTGTAAAATTGTTTTCCTTAACTTTTAAAGTTCATTCAAATAACCATAGAAACTATGGTTGACCTTCATACAGTAGAACAGTTCAGTACCGACTAGTAAGGAAAATATTTATGATCTTTTGCTTTTGAAAACTTAAAAAACAAAGATGACATAAGGTGTGGTACAGGGAAAACTCTATTCAGTAGAAGGTATTAGGACATATAACCTTCGAATAACATTAGAAAAAGCGAAAAAAAAGGTATGAAAAGGGAAATATAGATCATTTGGAAATAATGGAAAAACGTTTTGAATATTTTAGCTAAAATAGATATGTTAGTAAATGGAGAGGATTCTTCATCAAATGATGTTGAGTCATTTGGACTACTGCCATGAAACCAATCAATGTAAAAGTCTCAGTTCTAGAGTAGGTCTGTAGCGATATGAATCACACCATGCTAACTTCTCAGACTGTAAACTGAGTCATCCAACATCGGATTCATCACGGAGCACTAGTTCACAGAAACCTCTTGCTGATGAATACCAACTAACACGAAGTGTAGGATCATATTCTCAACATAATACACTCTACCCTCTGTTTTAGGATGCTAATGCACACTGTCGAGGAGTTCCATACTAGGGTAAAACAACTATCTAGATTTTTTTGCATTTTTTTAATAGTTGTGATACTGAATGTGAAACTCAATAATCTTCACAATCCCCTTACACTGATGATTACTTATTTATTGTTAATTTTGCTCTTCTTAAACAATATTCATTTCAATGTTTCAACCTTTTGTTTATATATTTTACTTTTTTTCAGGCAAAACAATTTAAGAAGGTGAATAAAAAATTCAATCTACTCAAATGGAAACAAAATAAATTCATGACAAGTTTAATAGTTATTGGTGCAACGATATTAATAATGATTATAATATTACTACTAATATACATTTAGCCCACATAAAAATGATTAGCAATCTTTAAGAAGTAATTTTACATAATCTATGTGATGACTATGTATGGTGATTTAAACTTATGGATTCAGATTACTCATTAGGAAAAAATACAGAATACGTGACTTCTTCAATAACCAAATCTTCATGTACTTATTAGGTTTCATGTCAGTTTTCAATTGTTTAGATTTAACCGGTAGTTCGAGAACAATTATAGTGTAATCCTTTAAGATTAACGCCGTTCATTTTCATCATGTCTGGTGTAAAAAAATAAATGATAAAACTAGTTTTGAACATTTATTTAGACTTTTAATTTTATACATACATGCATTGAAAATACATTGAAGTTGTTTTCATATTTGAGGAATAATATAAGTTGGCACGACTTTCTTAAAGTAGTATTTAGTATGCCTAAATGGTCCGAGGACAAACTTCGTAACTTTTGCGGAGTATTAATGGGTCCGTGTAACTATGGCTTGTCAGATCGATCGCTTGAATTAATGCAATTGATGTGGTTGAGTGAGTGGCTGTTCACAAAGTTCGGATTTACTGACGCAATGTCTTTAAAGGACGCACAACAGAAGACAGAACAACTTGTTAGTAAGGTAGAAGTCATTTTATATAGAGAATTGATAATATTTATGTGCAGTATATTTAATTCAATATAAAGGTGATTAAAATTCATTTAAAATGTTAATGACTGTTAGATCCGAATTTGGTAAGTCATTTATCAACCAACAAATTTAAGGTCATTGTTATGTCTTTAGCTATACGATTATCGTGAAATACGATTGCTAATTTAGATACGCTGACTTATACGACCAAACTAATGACGCATACACCAGTACGGGCACCTCAGAATTCCGATCGGTCCTTTTGCCGCCTAGCCCTGCCTGTTAAGTCCAGAACGCCAATGTCAGCCTCTGCGATACTAATCGTATATTCCAAACATACTGGGTTTATATATGGACAAATCAGACCACATCACACCATAAAGTAGAAAATAACGTTTGTATAGGATCTAGCCAAAAGTGGCTGTGGTTGTGAGAAACTGTTATTAATAAATTGGGAATATCTCAAGGATAATAAGTCGTATGAAAGGAATATGAATAAACATATAATATAGTCACTTAATAGTCATACAATAAGAATATTCGTATAATATTAGATCATACGTAATTCCTAGCGGTTACCGTTCATTTATTCTCGTCCGGATATAACAGCCATATGATCAGTCTTATTTATTGTCCACCATATTAATGTTAATGTAATATGATCTACATTCCTAACCGTAAACGCTCTTAAGATTCAATCTAGTCAACTATAAATCTGTTATACAGTTTTGTAGTAAAACATTCTTATCTGTGTGCCTAACAAGATTCATAAACTGCGATACATTTTGGTGTAGTATAACTTTCATATATAAACACGAGTTAAAAATCCCAGTAACAAAAACGTTTTGATTAGCTATCTAGCCTTCTAGTGACCTACAATCATGCTGGGGCCATTGATCAGAATGTTAAAAAAATTTAGGATTTCATTTCGATATCCCTTTGGTTTTATTAGTTCAAACAATATTAATGGTAACCATAAATCATGACGTTTTTGGATAAAAAGTATTCTTAATATCGAGAAAGAATCCTAGATTATTTAGAAAGATCCATATGGGTAAACATTATAGCTAGATCGAAACTCTTTCGTAGTCAGTTTTGAAAATGTAGGTTAAAGTTTTATCTTCATAGTTTGAGTTACGAACTGATATTTGTAAGGACGCCAATAAAAACCAAAAGGCACTAGACGACTGTTCTGTCCCAGTATGGGATTCCTCATCAGTGCGTATCACCAACCCCACCAAAGAGAATATAAAACCAGGAACTTCAGTCTTGCTCCAAAATGCTTGACCTTTAAACTTTATCAGTTTACGATTGTCTGTAACTGTCTCACATCAGACGTGGTCGACACCATTCATATTTATTTATTCGGTAATGGTAGTCAAGTGTTCAGCCCTAATCAGACTGAAAGTGATTAATATCATAAAACGGTTTTATCTAGAAGACTACTGGAAATCAGAAGAACTGAATATCTATTTTGTCCGTTGATACAACTTAATACTAACATATACCTAAGGATTCATTAGGATCGAATACAGAACTTTCAGCCTGGGTTACAGTTAGTAACTAGGATTTCACATAACTTATTTATGATGAACACTTCATTGAGATAATATGAGTCGCAGCGATAACGTTCAACTGCCCTCCCATTAGCCTGATTATGACTTACACATGAAAATATTGTATAAGATTTGGGTAATACCATCTACTAGATAAACCCATTATTCTCATTCCCAAACTTTAAGTTAATAACTATTTTCTCGGCAAATGAATTACATAGTGGTTAGCAGAAACAGAACCGTGAACTAACTAATAAGAAGATACCTAATATCCAAATTACTGATGATCCTCATGTTACTACTCTCCGTTACTAATAAGCTCCAAGGAACTCTTGGATAAAATATATAAATATCGATCTGTCATGATCAATCATTGTTAAATTTGTGTTTTGTAAAAGAATACAAAAGAGAAAAATAAAACCCTAGCCAAACTAACCAATTCTATCAGGATAGTATCTATTTAGAGTTCAATTGATTGTGTGCAAACATTAGTTTATTGATTGAAAGTTTCACTCAAAACTTATTGATGTTTTAAACAGATTCTGAAGAAATAAAATGAATTAAATATTGATTAAATTTTTGTTGTTTTAACAATGTGTTTTGATTGATTTTCATGTATGAAATTTTTTTTTAAATATAAACCAAACATATCGAATTAATAATTAATTTGAACGTTTTACATGTTTATTTAATTAATTTGTTGATTAGATTATGTTATTTATTGATGCTAGCATCTGTATATATACATATGCAAACGCCTAACACGAAATTATGGACATTCAAAATTTACGATACTTAATTGATTCTCACTACAAATCAAAAGAAGCTATAATAGCCAGGATTTATGAATAGGAAAATGGTTTATTTCTTTGATAAATGTTATTCTACACATTAATATTATTGATTTTATAATCAGTACATAGAAACCAAATTATTTTAAATGATATGAATATACATGAAGGTCGTTATGACAACATAAAGTTGTTAAATAAGTTTTGTGAAGTGTTTAGATGTACGATATGAATTTTATAAATCATTTGTGATTCAAGACAATCTCACCTTCATATAGATATAATGTGGTTTGAAGTAGCTGCCTTTAAACTTAGGTTTCGTGATAGATGCTACTTTTCGGAGTTAGATATCTATGATTTTGAAGGGTTTGATGCTTTTTGTAGGTTTTGAATTCGTGTCTCTGAGGGTCACAGTCAGATATATTACGATTGAGGTTCCAGCCACTTAACTTCCAAATAATTAATTATTTAGATTAACAGAGTCACTGTAAAAATGATTTGAATTGATCAATAATTTCAGTAACAGAAAATAAAGTATATGGCAGCTGTTTCAGCCTCTTTTCGAGATAACTTGAACAACCATATCATGAACTTGATAGGTGGTTGACTTCAAAATTTATGTCTGACGAAGAATGTTTCTCTAGTCAACTTAAACGTGACGAACTTCAAATTGAATTAAAAAAACAACCCAAAAACAGTATATATAGACTACTATCAGCTAATAATGATTATTGTCTTATGAATAATGGAATATATTTTAAATGGTCCAACAGAGTTGAGTTGTTAACTTACTCTGACCAAATTTAATAAAGCAATGTTCGCCCACTGTACAGACTCTCATTAATAAACTCTCAATGATCAATGAATTACTTAATGTTCAGTTAACTTCTCAATGAAATCCATGAAAAAATATATTTCTGTAATTATTTTACCGTAGCTGGTAAGAAGGCATGCAAATAGTTCCAGACGTATATATCATACTTCAATCACTTCCATAAATAGTATGGCTTTTGTCATCCCACACTCATTTCACCCATTTTTTTCGTAAGTATGTGTTTAAAAGTACTCAAGGAAAATCATGATGCCTTGAATGAATAAATACTTATCGATTTTAGTGTTTTGTACCATTTGTTATCCGTATTTTATATTCGGCAAGATGAAACATGTCACATAAATTCGGTGATAAAAATCATCTGCTTCACTCGATTTATTGCACTCGGTCCTACAAATGTTAGTAAGAGAGTAAAAGATCATCTAGATATCATTTATTGCATGATCTAGCCAGGAAATTTTTATCAGTCAATAAATTCTCTACTTAATTTGAACATTTAAAAGATTTTCCTAAACAGATTATATTTATTATATCAGGTATATTCACTGGTATACATCTGGCGATTATTTTGTAGTCTATATCATGAATTGATCTTAATTAGGCAACCATGGAAAAATAAGAAGGGATTGATAGCTATTTCGGTCTAGGCAATTCGGGACTTACGGTGAGGCCTTAACCTACAAACTATTAAGTCAGTATTCAGAGGTTCACATTCCGAACTTCACTGAAGTTGTTGTACAACTATCTTGCAATAATATTAACGAGTAGCCTAATAACTTCAAATGTATGTGAATTTCATAGGTTTTGCTCCTTAATTTATGTTTTTTTCGGATGATGAATTCAACACCACAGTTCTTCAAGATAGGACCGTCTATGTTAACTACCATAGTGACTGACGATAGCGAAAATCAACGTGTTAAAGTAAACATAGCTGCAATTGATTGACCACTGAGTGGTCACCAATATCATCTTTACTTAGTCCACTTAATATTTATCAAATACTGTCGTTCAGTTTGCGGCGCGGCAACTAGTCTAAGTAAGACATCTTCTACGCTATGCTGAAATATTAGATGGTTAGACGTGGTCAACAGAGTTCCCTAGTGGCTTCCTCCAACGTCCTAACACATATATTAGATTTCACTAGCTGAAATCATGAGCAGTGTAGTTCAACCAGGTCTGTTGTGAGACATCAGCTCACTGATAACAATG